TTACAAAACAATGAATATGAAAGAAAACATTTAATACTAGTGAAGGTGTTTGTATAGAAATGTGACAAGCGTGTGTGAGAGAGTTCAAAAGTCAACAGACGATCAAGAGTAACTAACGAGCCTCAGCGGAAGCGTCCATATCTATACGCGACCTACATCTTACCGTCCCTGGGTGAAATAGGAAAAAAAGGATGACAGAGAATGTTACTCCCTATTTATAGGCTTAAGGGGCGTCATCTAGCGGCGTTTTTTTTCTTTTTTTTTCTTTTACTAAAGTAAGTTGGGGTAACTCAACAGATGTAATTATGGCCTATTTGGGAGCTCTTATTATTGGTCTTGCGTTGATTTTTTTGTTTTTTTTTTTGTTTTTTGTGTGTGTATGTTGTGGCTATTTCTCCTTTTCATCATAATGTACTTGTCTCCTTACACTATCTCTCTTCCTTTTTTTTTTTTTTTTCTCTCTTTCGGTTCTAAGTGCCAGTGATCATGTAAAATGTTATTTCCGGTATCACAGACAGAACTTCTTTTTTTCTTTTTTTTTTGTAAGGCAATTCGTTTTCCCGAATGTTCTTTGGTCTTATTAAATTTTTCATTGAGCACAGTGTCCTTGGAAATTATTGTTATATATAATCATCCACATACAAGCCTATTTCGCTGTACCACAGCTCATCAGTGTGGCTAGAGATCAGATTGCTTCAAGCTGGGATCAGACAGATTTGGCATCAGTTAGAGATCCTGCTCCTAAGCTATCGACGCAGGACAGGAAAGGAAAATTTTAACGTATTATATACGAATGTATACAAACACCAACAGCCAGAGTGCTCAATTCATTAATGAAGAGCGATGAGTTAAGAGCAGCAGCGGCTACTGTTTTAGAATTAGCTTTTTTTTCTCCATAGTGCTCGATCGAATAATAATGCCTGTTTCGCTGTATCACAGCACATCAGTGTGACTATACTAAAAATTGAAATTGTTTCGTATTTTATTCTGATTAAGCTAATTTGTGAAGGTCTTTATCGTGCAATTTGACCTTTTTTTTAACAAAATAATATTCCAACTGGACTTGTGAACATTTGGATGGTTATTGACAACTCAGATTTTTATCATTATTTTTGTGTATATACAAAGGGATGCTGAAAAGTTATCAGACTGACAAAGAAGGGATCATTAAATTTGTTACCTTTCGTATTTTGATCAGTCTTTCATAGGTGTCTTTAGACTGAAAATTTCCAGTAACTGCTCATAGTTCTGCACTTACTAACATAAGAGTGCCATTGTTTGCATATTAAATACAGATTCCAAATAAAAATTCAATCAAAACGCGAACAAAAACTAAATTATTCTAAGAAACTGATATGTTCCAGAAAGGGATATATTTGTTCGAAGTAGCAAAGTGTTTGTTGACTACTGTAACCGAGTTGGACAATCTAGCAGGTAACCGTAATGGACTGGTCCTCGTCGTAGGGGTAGGCAAGAGGCGTAGTCCAGGTACCTACACATCAGTCTGTATTTATGGCTGACACCAACCAATCATATTACTATGAGGGGGACCCAGGTGTATGCATATTCATTGAATCAAAAATAAAGACTAGAGAGCTAGTAAGGCAAAAGACCGCTGAGTTTCATTGATAGTTTCGTTGATCAATGGTTTTCGAATTCAGCTCAGTTTGTAACGGGTAAGAGCAAACTGGAGGAATTAGATTTTGTTTTAAAGTCTGTTATTTTCATTAATTTGTCGTCTTCGAAACCATTCTTGACAAAGTTGGAAATAACTTACTAGAAATTGATGGAAGCTTATTTTTTATGAATGCTCTGTTTTAATTTCAGTCTTTAGGTCTGTGGATTGTAGCCTTCAAATATATCGTGTCAGAACTTAAATATCTGCATTTATTTTCGTACCATCATCAGTTTGGCCGCGAGCTATAATTCTACAATCTATCTCTAAATATTGCTTTAAACATATGTTGACTCACAGATTCGTGCATTAAGCAATCATCAAAACCATATGTTACTTCTTTTTGCTGTAGGTGTCTAGATTTCTATTATAAGACAATCAACCATAGTTCAAAGGCTGAACAAATTGTGTCCCATATCCTATCACTAATCGATTTTCAAAGAAAATCGCAAACGTTAGAAAATGTAACGCGTAAAAGGAAACTCAAGGAATTAGATTTTTTTTTTAAGTCTGTTACAGAATGCGTAGGCTATTCAAAAATGGTAATCTCTACTGTACAGATCAGAACTTTGACGACCCGAGTTGAGTGTGGCTGTGGAATCCTGACAGTAGGGGAATTTCTTTGTTTCGGTTTTAAATATAAGACCGAAAACGGTTGAAAACCGTCGGTAATGTTGCAACAATAGAAGAGTTAAGATGCCTCTCCGTTCCCAATAAGGAAAGTTACCACTTGATGGAAGGTAACTGGCCGACTACCTGAAATTAAGAAAAGAAAAACCCGATAAAGACTTATTTTCGTTCAATCGTCGGTGCATCATAGGGATCCCGACATGATGAATTGGCTACACACAAACACGTATGTTTGTCTTTCTAATTTTGAGGTTAATTTCTAAACGCAGAGATAATTTACGGCCTTCCCCTATTATATAATTGGCGATTTTATCTTTCTTTGTATGGCCTACATTTACTGTTCTAATTTGTCCTTACCATATTTGGTCTTTGCACTATTGTTTCGGCATTCACTTTCTCATCACAAAGATCCTCCACGCAGCCATTTACGTTTTGCACTAACGCTTTAAATTGACGTTTTGCACTAACGCTTTAAATTGACGTTTTGCACTAACGCTTTAAATTGACGTTTTGCACTAACGCTTTAAATTGACGCTTTAAATTGACGTTTTGCACTAACGCTTTAAATTGACGTTTTGCACTAACGCTTTAAATTGACGTTTTTAACGCTTTAAATTGACGTTTTGCACTAACGCTTTAAATTGACGTTTTGCACTAACGCTTTAAATTGACGTTTTGCACTAACGCTTTAAATTGACGTTTTGCACTAACGCTTTAAATTGACGTTTTGCACTAACGCTTTAAATTGACGTTTTGCACTAACGCTTTAAATTGACGTTTTGCACTAACGCTTTAAATTGACGTTTTGCACTAACGCTTTAAATTGATATATATATATATATATATATATATATATATATATAGGATACAGAATCCCGACAAATTCTTTTTTCTTTAATCACGAGAAATGACAGTTTAAGGAAAAAGTACTATGATTCATTATTTACGCATACACATTTCTTTCCTTTTTTTTTTTTTTGATCTGATGAAGTCTTGAATGACGAAATGCATAATCAAATCTATTTTCATACGTTTTCCATCTGTCATTATATATCATATATATATATATATATATATATACACACAAGAATGTCTGTCTATATTTCTGAGATGAGGTATTATGTACATTATTTACATTATTCGGACTATTGTCCTCATTTTTGTCGCCATATTTATCACAACGTTTCGGCCGTTGTACGCTCCAGCCTTCTTCAATTGGTTGGAATGTCGAACTTAACCCTTTATTTCGCTCACTGGAGTAGACTGTTCTAGTTCCACGTGCCATGTTTGATGGATGTCGGTTATCAGTTATCTCCTGTTAATTTCCCTCAAAGTTCTCCACTGCCTTAACCGGGTATTGAACTCACACTCCTTGGGTCCTGTTTATAATACCCAGAAATTCATACTCAGATGTCCTCAAGGACACATGGCACAGTGGATAAAGGCGTTGGTTAGATCCAGTGACAGGACCCAAGAAGTGTGAGAACCACGTGAAGCAATTGAGTGGTCATCTCGATTACCACACCTAAAACCGCTACTCTTTACCCCGAGGGGTGACTGAAAGATCTTGTTTACAGGCACAAACCGAAAACAAATCCTGAATTAAAACAAGCAATTTCTGATAAATTTTCTGAAATTAATGTAGAAAGCTGTCAGCGATTTCTTGATAGGATTCATCGTTGTATTGAACATGAAGGGGACATTTTTTAACATGTTAAATAGTTTGTTAATCATAAATAAATCATGTTGTTTTCTTAAACTAACTTATTTTCTTTAATAAAAGTTAATAAATAGAAAAGGGTTTTACTTTTGAAGCACTCCGTATATTAACATTTTTTTTCAAAAAGTCATACAATTTTTCAGAGAATTAACAGAAAATAGAATCGCTGACTTCAAATTACAGCTAATTATTTTGCACTAATGCCAATCACAAAGAAATGACTTCATCCGTTGTCTCCAGTAATGAGCAAAATGGTGGAGTAGACTCATCTTTCTAGCTTTGCTTAACAAGAAGTCAAGATATCGATTAAATTCAAAATCTTTAGTGAAGTCAGTAGGATACTGAAACCTCTATATCTTTCCCAATAAGAAGACTGTGTATAGATTACGAATATTAGACGAAAATGAAACTATAGGGACATCTGATCGCCTACGTTCTGAAAGGACGTGGCCTTTGAAAAGAATAAAATAATTATTACGACTTCTACTGCGAAAGCAAGAAATACATTTTCCACTCGTTCTGTCAGGCTTGTTATACTGTCTTGTTTCTGCTGGGTGATTAGCCGAGAAACCCGCTTAGCAACACTTTCCCTGTATTCTGAATGGCCTTGCGTTTCATTGTACATTATGTTTATTGATTACCTCGGTTGCTATAGTGACTGGCCAAGGCTAAACGGGCACTGTTGGTACTCGCTCGGAGTATGACTCAGACTAACGAAAACACTAACGAACTGATTCACTCGCTTACTAACTCGTCATGAGTCCATTCTGTAACGCAAGTACCTTCATAAACAAACAAAAAACTCGCGTATTGCCTTTATTTCTTTTTTTTCCCCCCCCAAAAAAAAAAACATGAGCAGTAAAAGCAAAGTACTTTGGCATCAGGATATTTCTACACGATATATCTTGTCAGATGCTCCTGGACAATTGCTGCTTTCACTGCCTTCAACTACATTTAAGAATTGTCTTTGACGTTGAACACCGGTTCTCGTACGATCACAGATGTTAAGCAACGTCAAGCCTGGTCAGTAACTAGATGGATGACCGCTTTGAAATACCAGGTGTTGTAAGATTGAATGTGCCGATGATGAAATCGATAATGGCTTGAAATTTGAAATCTGAGAGCCGAGGTTCAATTCTAGTCGCGTTTCTTATATTCACTGACGCGCAAATACACTTGTGGGGGAGGTATGAATCCACCTCCATTCTCCAGCTATGGGTTATTTAGTAGGACTTTATTAGTAAATCATTCTCTAAAACATTCTTAAAATAAATAAAAAATTTCTGACTTTAAATAAACTGCAATGGGTTGATAAACCGTAGAAAACAAATCATTCTAGCAATAAGAAAACCGAAAAGAAAGACATTGATCATATATTTTTAATGCATTGCAATTATAAAATACCCTATTCTGTCAGCAATGATTATTTCCTGACCAGTGACAATCCCTTTCTTATTCAAAACATAGTATTTCATTTCTGAAATGAGTAATTGTCATTATCCTTGTATTATTTCGAACTGTTGTCCGCATCATGGTTGATATAGATGTTATAGACACAACGTTTCGACCAAGTTCCCTCTGGTCTTCATCAGGTGCCTATTTGATATCTGTTGATTGATGTGTTATGTTGCCCCTGTGATATCAGTTATTATTCGTTCCTACTGATGGGTGCGTTACCACCAGACCCAAGGATTGAACTCCTGGCCACTGAATGACATAAAACTTGTATAACCAACTTCTTTATACCTATTAAGGACATTAGTGGTGTTTTGGGGTGCCAATTATATTCAATATTTTTTAAAATATTTATGATGGCGGGTTCGTATCGATTTTCATAATTTAGTATTTTATTTCTCAGATGAGTAATTGTCAATGTTCTTGTATTACTTCGAACTATTGTTCTCATCTTGATTGATATAGACGTTATTATAGACACAACGTTTCGGCTGAATACCCTCTGGTCATCATCAGGTGTCCATTGATTGGCTGATATGGGTTATCAGTTAATTATTGTAATTTATTGATCGTTCCTGCTGTATTGGTGAGTCGCTACCAGATCCAAGTATGAGAGTAATACAATTATAACCAACTCATCCATCGACTACGACACATTAGTAGGCATTAGTGATGTGTTTGATGAAGCTTTTATATTCAGTGTCAGGTCGTTTTCACTTTAGGTTATGATGACGGGTCGTACTGCTTTTCATAATTTTGTATTTCATGAATAATTGTCAATATTCTTATTTCGAACTATTGGTCTCATCTTGGTTGATACGGATGTTGTGATAGACAATGACGCTTAGACCAACTACCCTCAGGTTATCATCAGGTGATAGGCTGATATCTAAAAGGCATGACGCATGATGTTACAGCCTGTAGAAGAAAATTCTTGTATTTCGAACCATTGTTCTCATCTTGGTTGACATAGCTGTTATTATAAACACAACGTTTCGACCAAGTAGTCTCTGATCGCCATCAGGTGTTCATTGATTGGTTGATATGGAATATATGCTGATTATTGTGGTATTCAGCAGGAGCAAACGATAACTGATACCACAGTGACAAAATATCACAATCAACAATCCTATATAAGCCAATCAATGGATACCTGATGATGTCCAGAGAGTACTTGAGTCGAAAGGTTTTCTATAATAACATCTATATCAACCAAGATGAGAAAAATTGCAATGACTTTTTGCCACCTATAGCAAGTTCTATACCTTTTGAGTAAAATTCCACAGATTTTGATGTGAAAGTTTTCGACAAACTCTGGAATCCGGTTTTCATTATAGAAAGCTTCCTCTATCAAAGCGTTCGTCCTGGGTAAGACGTTAAACTCCATCCGCGTCCTGGGTAAGACGTTAAACTCCATCCGCGTCCTGGGTAAGACGTTAAACTCCATCCGCGTCCTGGGTAAGACGTTAAACTCCATCCGCGTCCTGGGTAAGACGTTAAACTCCATCCGCGTCCTGGGTAAGACGTTAAACTCCATCCGCGTCCTGGGTAAGACGTTAAACTCCATCCGCGTCCTGGGTAAAGACGTTAAACTCCATCCGCGTCCTGGGTAAGACGTTAAACTCCATCCGCGTCCTGGGTAAGACGTTAAACTACGTCCAGCAGCAAGGCGTCTGATCAGGAGGTTTACAGGAGTGTGGAACCGCCTCTTAATTGCTGATGTTCCCAGACCCACTCTCACCCGGGGTGGTAACACCTGTTAGGGTCCCAGCTATGGGCAAATAGTTAACTATTACCAGCAATACATTTCTGAAAAAAATTATTACCCGCAATACAATTTTGAAGCAAATATATTACCAGAAACAGATTTTTGACAAAACAAAATATTACCAGCAATAAGTTTTTTTGTCAGCATTAAATAACCCATTGAGGTTGATATGCCGTAAAACAAAATAAACCAAACCAATCTAAACCAAAGAATACATATTCCATTCATACGAATCTATCCTTAAAATGTTGTCGGCATTAAATAACCCATTGAGGTTGATATGCCGTTAAGCAAAATAAACCTATCAAAGCGTTTTGTAGAGATCGAAAAAAGTTAATAATCGGTAAGTGCAAGGCTGGGTGAATGTGGTATGTGGATTACGACAGACAGTTTTAAACTTTTTCCTGTGTTATTCTTGCTATATGCAGCGTTGTGATGGAGAACATTTATTTGGTGGCCCGTTCCAATTAACTGTGGATCGTCTAACAAAGTTGTTTTAAATCGCTCTCTCCCCTTTCAAAACAAATCAGTACAACACGGACATTGATGAATCGAATAACGATAATTTATTATGCATGGTCTAAACAAAACAAGTGATATACAAAATGGAAATGAAGTTGGCAAAATTCCAAGTAGGTGGATAAAGGAAAGCTTTGTGTGAAAAAGAATACTCCTGTCTGAGGCGAGTTCAAATAAAACTCTTAAGTGCATGAAAAATGTGATTGACGTACAGAAAGAGAGAGGGGAAATTTATATAAACAGTGGGGTGAGGAATTCGTTGAACTTAGCCTTGGTCGGTGGAAACGGGATACACGGATGAAGACTTTTCCTACTGAAGTTGACATTATCTGAAAATGAAACCCCGGTGGAAGCTAGCGTGTTAACCAAATATTTCGTTGATATTGCTTTTAAGTGGTTCAAGTCTTAGAACTTTTCAACACCATAATAGAACAATTTGATTGGTTTATTATTTTTTTATTTTATTTGTCATATGACATGTTATATACTACACCCGAAATAGGGGTTCAATGAAACTTTTAATGTTTAAAATTGTGAATGTTGTTCTTTGTGTGGGTATAAGTTTGTGCTTCGCCCCAAAACACGTTTTCAAGTTGTTGCAGATGATGATGCTGGGTGGTTAAATGACTTGATTTATTTCCAAACCAAACAAGCGTTATTTCGATCGATTTCAGACAAAAGCTGGTAAACCTTGAAACGCAGCAGAATGGTCCATTCGTGATGCACCTTTTTTTCTTTTTTTTTTTTTTTAACTGAAGTGAGCTTTTTCAAAAACTTTCAAAGAATTTTTGCTTTAAAATTCTCTCCCACTAATACTAATGTGTACACAGTACAAGTGCGAGCAGAGTTAAATTATTGGGTTCGCCAAACAGTTCGTTTGGTATATAAGTAAAAATAGGTAATTTTTTTTTCTTTCTTTTCTTTTTAGTGTTTCGGCATTATTTAACTATGTATAATGTTCAAGAAAGCTAATATCGAAAAAAATGTACATTTTTTTAATTAAACCACAAGAACATTTTGCCTATCCAATGTGTTCAATGAAAAAAAAACTTTTTTTTATGCTAACTTATATTGAAAAAAAAAAAAAAACGAACGAATATTTTATCCAACCCAATATTTTGTTCAGTTTCTTGACTCTACACTATACTTATTTGGTATTATTAGTATTATTGTTCGACGAGATAGATTTTTTACGGCTTATCAACCCTTTATTGGTTATTTAAAGATAAAACATACATTGGACTTGAAAAATAATTATTTTCTTTGCTATGAAATATTGCGTTACAAAAAAAGAATGTCTAATATCGAGAATATTTAATATCGAAAAACATAAGAAAAATTACTTCCTTTTAGTAATATGTAGAAATACCACTCTTTGCCTGATGAAGGTCGCGACACCAGAAACCCGTGTATCAAAATTATGGAAAATGAAGCACAATATACATATATTAAATCCACATTACAACCAAAAACGTTTGCGGTTTCTCTCTCATTTTTATTATACACACTTTTCTCTCGTTGAAACTACTATAACCTCTTCCCTATATATATATATATATATATATATATATATATAAAATGAGAATGATTTTTTTCTGATACAAGTCTTACTATTTATCCCAGTCATGTGTAAATTCCGGCCCGATTTGCATTCTGAATGGCACACCTAATTTCATAAGGAAAATAATGTTTTTAAAATGCTGTTTCCTTACGTTCGCACGTGTTCACTCAAATGCTTTCTCACACTTATCCACATACAGAAACAATGAGATCTTTCTTGAATTTTGTAACTTGCGTTGGAGTCAACGTTGTCAGCATTTTAAACCATTGGCGATTTTCCCTTTTCTTCGTAAATGTAAATACCTTTTTTTTTTCTTCGGAAACTGGAAACCTTAATGGTGATTTATTTTCTTTAGAAAATAAGTATACATAAAAAGTGTTTTTGCATCGTCAAATGGATAAATTAGAAATAAATCACACTCAGCAGCGTGTGTTAATCACTGTCATTGTTGATAATATACGAAGACGTCAATATTTTAATTATAGAAGAAATCTTTTCTCCAATAATACAAATCGACTTTACCCATTTCTGGGGCAGATGGTAATGCGCATGCGCTTTTGATGGGAAAATGGCTGCGTTATCTTTAATGAAAAATTATCTTCATTTTTTTTTTTTTTTTTTTTTTTTTTGTAATTTCTTTTTTAAATTTTCAAAAAATTTTTCTTTTAATTTTTTTTTTTTTTGTTTTTTTTTTTTTTTTAATTTTTGTAGAGTGGCTCGCCTTATGAGGAACTGATATTCATGCGACTCACTCTTCAAAAAGAAA